CTAACAAATTTATGAGTGCATAAGCCTTCGTGGGCGACAGCCGAAGAAGTGGATTGTAGCCCACGAAAGCTTATGCTCTAATAAATTTGTTAGTCTCTAAGGTGCCACAAGTACTCCTGTTCTTTTTGCGGATACAGACTAACACGGCTGCTACTCTGAAACCTGATTTTCAGTGGCACTCACGCTGCCTGGGTCCTGGCCACCGGTCCGGGGGACTCTGAATTTTAATTTAATTTTAAATGAAGCTTCTTAAACATTTTAAAAACCTTATTTACTTTACATACAATAGTTTAGTTATATATTATAGACTTATAGAAAGAAACCTTCTAAAAATGTTAAAATGTATTACTGGCACGCGAAACCTTAAATTAGGGTAAATAAATGAAGACTCGGCACACCACTTCTGAAAGGTTGCCGACCCCTGGTTTAACCAATTCCTCACCTGTGCAGGCAGCTCTCGGGAGCACTTCTTTCTCAGAGTCCTGGAGGTCTGGGACCCACGGCTCTTCCCCTCGTTCCAGCTGCGAGATCACATCAGGTTTGGAAACTGGAAACCCTACTCAAGGCAAAGAAAACAAGGGAGAGCAGTGGAATTTGTGGGATACTTGTCACAAAGAATATTGAATGGTTTTACCCCCAGCTCATTTTTAGTCAGTAACATCTGAAGACCAGCTTCCTTGTCTCAAAGTGGCAGGAGAGTTGTTATTATAAATCATATTCATTACCTTAGTGCCTAAGACCCATTGTGCTAGGCAAAGTACAAACACAGAAGAGTAGATGGCCCATGCCCTGAAGAATTTACAATCTAAATAGACAAGACAGACACAGAATGGGGGAAGGGGTAAAACCCACTGTTAGAATATAGATATTCAGGCCTGCCTGTAAAGCCTATACTTTAAGAACTGAGGTGTATTTTTAATCACTTAGCTAGTTACAGGGGTATAAAAACAAAGAATCAAAATCACAGTCTGCCTGTGTATGGGCCTTCTCTCACTAGGATAGTCTGAGGCCTTGTTCGTAGGCTAAGGCCTTTGGCTAAGCAGCAGGGGCAGCCATAAGCACACATCCCAAACCAGTCACACTGAAATAAGGTGGTATTGGGTTGTTAGAAAGATGATCCTGTACTGATAGTGCCCATCACCACCAGATAAAGAAACAGATCTTAAGATGGTTAAAGAAAACTTAGTTTGATAGCACTCTGTCTAGCAAGAAATCACTTATCAATGGTTGTGGTTTTGAAACTCTCATTTCTGTATTGTTTTATCTTTATGGCCACCATTTTTTCTATTGTTAATCTGTCTAGTTCTCTAATTTTTTCTGTCTGCTGTATAATTAATTTTCCTAGATGTAAGTTAATTAGGGTAGTGGGATATAATTGGTTAGAGAATTATGTTACAATATGTTAGGATTGGTTAGTTTAAATTTCAGTTAAGGTATAGCTGAGAATATTACTATATAAAATAGAGGGGGAAGAGAAACTGGAATCATGTTTTTTAAGGGGTGGGGGGGAACAGGAACAGGGAAGGGGGAACAAGGCTCTGGAGCATCAGAGCTGGGAAGGGAACGCTGGGGAACAGACTCTATCGGAGTATAGATATAAGCCCGAATGGTGCGAAGGTCTTTGGAGTATGCTTGCTTGGAAACTAACCTCAATAAACATTGCATTATCTGCACTTCAGACTTCTGGTCTTTTGCTGCTTGCTGTCTGCGTGACAAGAACCAGGGAAGCAGGAGGCCCTCTAACAAAACTGACATGACCTGATAACTAAGCGGTAAGCCTTTAAGGAAAGTTTTAATACACTTGGGAACTGATCAGGGATTCCCACGAGGACTGATGAGGGGGCCATGGTAAATACACATTTAGATCCTTTTCTTGTTTTATATCCTTTCCCCATCAGACACACTGTCATGGATCCATAGGATCTGTGCAATGCCTGAGCTTTTAAACAGTCCTTGGGAAGCCTCTGGCTTCAACACTCCTATTTCAACCTGTGAGCTCTGCCAGCAGGTCCAGCTGAACGACACTCCTCTTCAGAGACTGTTCCTCATTCAATGCACGGAGTAAGTTTTTGCTGTGACACTGGGCAGACTTTTAAAACACAGCAGGGTTTATTAGTCAATTGAAACACAGCATTGGAAATTCCTTAGATTAGGACAGAGAAGCAAAGAAGACAATGTATTCCATACTGGGCAATGCTCTTGAGCCATTCTGCTGTAGCAAACAGTTTAGTTTCCTTTCACTTTGCCTGTCCATTTGTCTTCGCTCCAGTAGAGCTCCCTGCATCTGCGAGCCCAGTTCTTCCTGCTCCCAAAAACATAACGAGTCCATGTATGCTTCACTCAGCCAAGCTGAGATGCTCCCATGGAACAATTATTCCCTTGTCTCTGTCGGGTATTCCACTGATGTAGGTTGGTCCCAGCCAGTCCTTAATGACCCATTCATATCACCCCATGACAGCTCCATGACAAAACACCTCATGTCTCCTGCTCTTTCTAATCATAGCAATACCAATCACAGAGGGAAACTGAGGTGTGTATTGACATCATAAGAGTATCACCAAAATTCCCACCTCTATATCACACACACACACACACTGCTCACAGCCCTTGGAGAGAAAGCAAAGCACAGGAACTGGATGTTAGTTCAGTGAACACAGTGGAAGACAAGCTGCAATCCTCAAACCCTGGTCAAAAAGGAGAGACATGTGGGTCCCTACCCATAGAGAGGTGCTGGCTAGAGACCTGATACCTGACAGGGCATTCCTTGAGCAGACCATGGAGGCAGGTCAAAGGCTTAGCTAACCCAAAACTGTGACATCGCAAAAGCACATTTTGGGGAATTAGGAAATCTACTGACTCAGGTGTAATGGGAGGGAGAATTAAACTCCCCCCAGTGTGTGGAGAAGGCTGGGGAATTAAACACTAAAAATTCAGGAGCAACAGCCTCTAACTCTTCTGGAAAAGGAGAATGTAAGAAACAAGAACTGGGCCACGCAACCTCAGGAGGGACAGGCTCAAAGATCCAAGGAGCCTGGAGGGAAGACAGATTGTGGCTGCTGCAGATGGGGAGAGGGGGGGAAAAGACTCTTTCCAAACTCTCACTCCTGTTGACCCTGATCTGATTTTATGACCTAGTCTCATGTCTTGTGGGCAATTTTATATTCACTAGAGGTAAAATGTCATTATCAGAGTATTGCTTATTAGCTTGGAATGTGCATGGAGGGGCAAGGAGGTGAACATAAATAAATGGGTTATTAAGTTTGCTACAGTTAAGGGCCTTATATTAGGTTGATGCTTTGTGGGAGTAGTTATGCTGAAGTCTGGAATTTACGTGAATAGGTCTAAGGAGAGAATCCCAGGTCAGATATTTTGCACGCTGATTTTGAGAGACTAACGAGGAACCACAAACAGGTGCAATACGCCACAGGGTTCTGAAAGAAGGAAGTTTGGGGCGGGCTTTAGCAATTAGGTTGCTATGCAGTATCTCAGCAGTTGGATCACATTCATATATTGGAATTATTAATAAATAAGTGATGTAAATCATTAGTATTAATGCTTGATGCTTAATTATGGACTTCCCAAAGGCCACATATGGGTTGGGGCAGCTATTGATATTATTGTAATCAGAGTAAAGGAGCAGATATGGTATATAGCCATCCTATTACCCTAAGGAAGCGGATAAAATACCTCTCCTAGTTACCATTTTTTCATTTTGTCAGGTCCCCGAGACAGTGTAAACTGAAGCAGGACCTCCCTTCTGATGGGCTCCCTTGTCCCTTGATCTTTGTTTCCAATGGTGTCCATAACTTGTAAGTATGCACAGTACAAGACCCTCTTTACTATACTTATCTTAGTCTAATCATTATGTGTATTGATCCTTGCCTGTGATTTAAATTATAACGGTCTGTATTAAATCAAGTTTCTGTGTGTTTCACTAAATTTCATTTTCTCAGTTAACTGAGTAGCCATGTATAAGGGCAAGTTGTACCCCTAATACATTTGTGCTCATTTGTGCCTAGGTAGTGGCCCTGCTATGGGAGGTAGGAATGCAGCAAGGACTCAAGATCGGTGGCCGGGGTCGCTGTGCATAAGGATGGGGAGGTTATATTGGGAGGGGGGTAATGAGTGGGAGAGGGAGGTCAAGAGTTAAAATAACATTTGAGGAAAAAATGTTTAATGAAGTGGAACTGAACAGAAATAAAACTGGAGTGTAGGCTCTAAAGCAACAAGGCTTGGGCAGGGATTCGGGATTAAAGGTCTGGGATCTCCCACAGCTCTAGATCCCCAAACCTCCTCTCCCTCCCACTGACCCACCCAGCCCACTTCCTGGCTGCCCTTCCTCCACACTCCCTTCCCCACCTTCCCACTACTCTCAGCCATCACCACCTCCCGGCACTTTGGGAGCTTCTTGTGTTCCCTCCTCGTCTCTCACTACCTCATCCCTCCCAGCTGCTTCTTAGCTCTTAGCCTGCACACACCTTCCCCATGTCCAGGCACCCCAGAATTATCTACTCCATCCCTTCTCCTCCCCTTCCATGGCTCTGTTCTCCCTTCACCCAGGGGGTCCTGAATGGCAACATTATATGCTCTCCTATCAAAAGAGGAGCTCATCTGACTGTCACACAAGCCACGCATCAGTCATCAACCTATTTACTCAATTTAGAATTCTACAGGTGGCATATTTTCCTCTTAAAATGAGGAAAAGGCATGAAAGCTCTAGTTATTAATGTATCCAATAAGGATACATTAAATGCAATTTTAAAATGGCTGACGGCACCAAAAAGGCACATGTCCAAATATTATTCTAGTGGCTGGGAGATAAACTAAATAAAGGGGGACAAGGAAACTTGTCAAAACTTGTATGACAAATAAAGCTATAAAGTTATTACTACTCAGGTTCTTTAGAGACCCCACAGATTCTAATAACCGAGGGGACAGGACTCCTTACCCAGCAAGACCACTGTCTCATAGTTCTCCTGCATGACATCCCTGTAGAGGTCTCTCTGAGTGAGGTCCAGCAGAGCCCGCTCTTCCCTGGTGAAATACACAGCCACTTCCACGAAAGTCACCGGCCCCTGAAAGAGCAAGAGTCCAACACTCAGTACCTGCTGCCCCAGTCACAACCCCACTATTCATGGAACAGCAGCACTAAGTAAATGGAAGCTTTGGGAGGCACATGTTAACAGAGTCCCACCCCACCTTGCTTCGAGCAGCCAGGAGGCATCAGAGGGTAGAAAGAGAGAAACTTGTGTCTCCCAGCTGACAGACGGAGGCAGGATCTTCACATTTATCACATACCTACTAGCCAGAGCTTGATATAGGAGATGAGGCTGTCTCTGGACCCTGCTGGTGGCTCCCTGGTAGGAATCCCAACACTCTCCAAATAAAATATATGGAAGAAAGGGGAAGTCAATAGTAAAGAATATAAGTTAGAAGGTCAGTACTGTAGAAAATTGGTAAGGGAAGCTATCAGAAATCAATGACCAATCAATGAAAATAAGAAGAAAGTTTTTAAAAGTATATTAATCCTAACAATGGTAGTGGTAAATTACTATACAGAAATGGCAGAATTATCAAAAATAATACAGAAGAGGTAAAAGTCTTCAATAAATATTTCTCTCCTGGATTTGGAGAAAAACAGATGATGTACTCATATCATAAGATGTTGACAACGACACACTTTCCATTCCAACAGGACTTCATGAGCTATTAAAGTTAGACATGTTTAAATCAGCGGGTCCAGGTAACTTGTATCCAAGACTTTTAAAAGACCTAGTGGAGGAGCATGGTGGACTATTAATGTTGATTTTAATTAGGACTTGGAACACTGGGGAAATTCCAGAAGACTGGAATAAAGCTAATGCTGTACCAATACTAAAAAGTGTAAAAGAGATGACCCAACTAATTACAAGAGTGTCAGTCTGACATCGATACTGGGCAAGATAATGGAGCAGCCGATACTGGATTTCATTAATAAAGAATTAAAGGAGGGTAATATAATTAGTACCCATTAACAAAGGTTTAGTGAAAATAGATCCTATCAAACTAACTGGATATCCATATTGGAGGAGATGAAAAGTTTGGTTGCAGCTAATAGTATTGATGTAATATACCTAGACTTCTGTAAGGCATACGACTTGGTTCAGCATAATATTTTGACTAAAAAACTAGAATGATACAAAATAAACATGGCATACATTAAATAGATTAAAAACTGATTGTAAATGGGAAACCATGGTCGAGTGGATTTATTTCTAGCAGGTTCCGCAAGGACTGGTTCTTGGCCCTGTGCTATTAACATTCTTATCAATAACCTAGAAGAGAATATAAAATCATCACTGATAAAGTTTGCAGTTCCCACAAAGATTGGGGGTGGTGGTAACTAATGAAGTGTCAGATTCAGGCTCCAGCACTGCGAGTCTGGGAAGTTTTCCCAGCCCTGGCTGGAGGGTTATTTCCTGTTCCACAAAGAGGGGAAGTTCCAGTCCCAACTCCTGTGCCTTGAAATTAGGCCCTATCTGACACTACACCCCATATTCATCATAGTGGTATGATTATAATATTATTAGGACATAATTATGATGCATTTTGTGCCAGATACATCATGTGTGGTGTCACTGGAAAAGTTATGATTTGCTCAATATGATTATCCTATTTGTGTGCGTGGATCACGTTTGTATCTGAAGTTATGGATATTGACTATGTATCTGTATTTCAAATGTGCTTACTCTGGGTAACACCCACAACTAGTCTTTCAGGTACAACAATGAAGAAGCCAGACAGCGCTGATGGCTCATCAACAAAGACAATGGACCATGCAAGAGCTTAGCACTCAGTTGGGCATGCTAGGGCATGTGACCAGACCACATGACACTGAACGCCATTTTGGTACCTGTATTATTCCACAAACTGGACTGGGAATTCAGTTTGAAACAAAGGAGTCCCACCATATAGAAAAGGTACATAAGGTGGGGTGTGACATCATCTCTTGGCCTCATTCCCCACACAAGAGAACTTCTGGAAACACCTGAGGAACAAAGACTGAACTGGGGGAAGTGCTGGTCCCAGGGTACAGGGATCTCTATCTTGTGTATGGAAACTTGGTGGACTGCTTCTATCATCAGTTAGGGTGAGAAACTGCTAATTCAAATTCTATCCATCTAGTATGTTAGGCTTAGTTTGAGTTTTTGGTTATTTGCTAAGTAATCTGCTTTGATCTGTTTGCTATCACTTAAAATCTATCTTTCTGTAGTTAATAAACTTGTTTTATGCTTTATCTTAACCAGTGTATTTTGAGTGAAGTGTCTGGGGAATATCTCAGCTTGGTTAGCGCACAAGCTTGTTGTGCATATCTTTCCCATATCGAGGGGAAGGCAAACTATATTAATGAGCCTACATTACACAGATCCCTGTGCACTATAAGATGGTATAATTCTGGATTTATACTACAGCAGGTGTGCAAGGTTGGGGAGCTGGGAAATTGGCTATTGTCTTCTATCTGTCCTTGAGTGGCTTAGGTGTATGGCACCAGCTGCTGTCGTGTTGGGTGATAACAGGGCCTGGAGAGGCTGGCTGAATCTCCAGCAAAGCAGTGTGAGAAGGGCCAGCCCAGCTTGAGGGTTAGAGGACACAGTGGTCCCCAGAAGCCCCCCAGACTGTACCCCGGGGATGACAATCCATCACACCCTAGATTACACATATCTCAGCAGGTCTGTCACATCCTATCCCCTCCCTTTCTCCACCCTAGATATTTCCTGCCTCCCACCACCTCCAGCAGCTCCCCTCTCCTTTACTCCTCTTCCTCCAAGCAGAACCCATCACCAGCTCCCTGATAATCCCTTACCTGAGCCAGCTCCATTGCAGCCATTTCCTTCCCCCTGGGTGGGTCTGGAGTGAAACCTGGATGTTATTCTGTAGCCTGCCAGGGCGAGAAGGGCAACGTGAGAGAATTCAGATGGGGTTTTTGGCCATTCCACATGCCGATTCCCCCCAGGATTTTTCCCTGCTAATGGACATTCTAGGTTCTGCCACACTGTGAAGCAAAGAGTGACCTTATTCCAGTACAGGCCTAGCTCCCTCCCACCAGGGTGTAACCCTCTGAGACATGCTGAAAACCTTCTAGTAACAGAGTCTCTCTGTTACCCTTATCAAGTTTGCGGACGATACCAAGCTGGGAGGGTTGCAAGTGCTTTGGAAAATAATCCGGACAAACTGGAGAAATGGTCTGAAGTAGATAGGATGAAATTCAATAAGGACAAATGCAAAGTACTCCACTTAGGAAGGAACAATCAGTTGCACACATACAAAATGGGAAATGACTGCCTAGGAAGGAGTACTGCGGAAAGGGATCTGGGGGTCATAGTGGATCACAAGCTAAATATGAGTCAACAGTGTAAAACTGTGGCAAAAAAAGCAAACGTCATTCTGGGACGTATTAGCAGGAGGATTGTAAGCAAGGCACAAGAAGAAATTCTTCCGCTCTACTCCATGCTGATTAGGCCTCAACTGGAGTATTGTGTCCAGTTCTGGGTGCCACATTTCAGGAAAGACAAATTGGTGAACAAATTGGTGAAAGTCCAAAGAAGAGCAACAAAAATGATTGAAGGGCTAGAAAACATGACCTATGAGGGAAGATTGAAAAAATCAGGTTTGTTTAGTCTGGAAAAAAGAAGACTGAGAGGGGACAAGATAACAGTTTTCAAGTACATAAAAGGTTGTTACGTGGAGGGAGAAAAATTGTTCTTTTTAACCTCTGAGGATAGGACAAGAAGTAATGGGCTTAAATTGCAGCAAGGGTGGTTTAGGTTGGACATTAGGAAAAACTTCCTAACTGTCAGAGTGGTTAAGCACTGGAATAAATTGCCTAGGGAGGTTGTGGAATCTCCATCATTAGGGATATTTATGAGCAAGATGGACAAACACCTGTCAGGGATGGTTTAGATAATACTTAGTCCTGCCTTGAGTGCAGGGGACTGGACTAGATGACCTCTCGAGGTCTCTTCCAGTTTTATGATTCTATGAATCAAAGGCCAGAGAAGAGCAGAATCAAAGAAGTCACTTTGGGGGATTCTCCCTGTCATTGTCCCCAAGGCAGCTGTCTCAGGTTTACAAAGTTGTTTGATGCTCCAGCCTTTATACAGTCTCTCCTGCAAGTGCCCCCTTTCATGGGCTGGGCCTAGTTTTAGCTTTTGGCAAGTGTGACCCCGGGGGCTCAGAGACTGGGCCTTCTTGCCTCAGCACCTTGTTTCTTTCTGTGGCTCCCCAGTGAGTCCAAATGGGTAGATACTCCTGATAGAGACTGTGAACATAAGAACGGCCCACTGCGGCAGACCAACGGTCCATCTAGCTCAGTGGCTAATGCCAGGTGCTTCAGAGGGAATGAACAGAACAGGTAATCATCAAGTGATCCATCCCGTCACCCATTCCCAGCTTCTGGCAAACAGAGGCTAGAGACACCATCCCTACCCATCCTGCCTGTGACACTCGCAGACGAGGTGTTAGCTCTTGCAGAAGCCCCCAGGTCTTAATTGAACATGGACAAACGCATAGCTGGAATCAGTCTGGCTCACCTGTGTTAGGATTGTTAAAACAGGTATTAGAATTATAAGAATGTGTTTAGACTTTATTGAATGGGGGGAGGGATAGCTCAGTGGTTTGAGCATTAGCCTGCTAAACCCAGGGTTGAGAGTTCAATCCTTCAGGGGGCCACTTAGGGATCTGGGGCAAAATCAGTACTTGGTCCTGCTAGTGAAGGCAAGGGGCTGGACTCAATGACCTTTCAAGGTTCCTTCAAGTTCTAGGAGATAAGATAACTCCATTAAAAAAAAAAGCACTTGTGAGTTGCTGCCTGGGTTATATCTGACTAGTTGCATTGTGAGACTCTGTGGTTCTGTAAATCACCAGACAGGAGAGACACTTTACCTATGTGAAGTGCTGATTGGCAACAGAATGCATTATACCCTGCCTGGCAGGAAAGGTCCATCAACACCAGATAGACTATTATGGGTGTAGTAAGATGAGTCCTTGAGACATAAACCCTTGGTATCAGAGGCCCAGTATGAAGCCTGAACTGAAGTAATGGTCAAGACATTGTGAACATAAAGCACAGTTAGGCTGTGAGCCAGAGGCAGGCCCTGCTCACAGAAGTTGCCAAGAGCGTATACACATGTACTAATAAGATGAACGTATACCAGGACGGCACCCACACAGATAACAAGGAACAGGCAGACCCAGTCTAAAGACAGTATAAAAGGACAATATGACGGATAGACAATATGATGAATAGACTTATTTGTTCGAACCAATCTGCACCATGAGAAAGGCAACATCGTAATACATAGAGGGGCTGTACCTCAGTGCGTTCAACGACGTGAAACCTGTTTGTCCCTGTGTATAAGAATGCATCCCAGAGTGGATGTCTTTGTCTCCCCTAGGGGGCAGTGGAGAGTCCAGCCACTAACTGAGCGGGTCCATTGTCAGGGGCACATATTCATAGTACGTCCTGTCGAGTCTGCGGGAAACTATTACTGTGCTTCATTTGACAATAAACCTGGCCGGGTGCCTTCGTACCTTATCGGAGTCTGTGGTCACTGGGGGTTCTCCAGGGTCTGCTGTGTCAGCGATCGTCAGAGCCAGGGCAGCACACAGAGGGAACACACGCACGCAGCCGACTGATATCAACATTGAACAGAGCAGAGCACCACCACACTGGTAGCATCTGACGGCACTGGTGACCCCGACCGCTGATCTGGTGAATAAGCGAGCTGTCCGCTGTAGAAATTGCGATCTAACATGACAGAAAACCATGAGCTAGGGAACCCCCTTAACCCCTCCCTGCAAATCCCCACAGAGTTTAAAAAATATAATGGGGAAGAAACATGTAATGTAATTTGTAATGGGGCAGAGACTGTAGCCTTAAAATGTAAAATATTGCAAACCATGGCTGATAAGTGGTTAAAACAGCACGACACAAAATTGGCAGGGCAAGTATCAGTAACAAAGAAAGAGTTAAAAGACTCAAAGGAAGCTACACAGCCCTGGGACAAGCCCTTGCAGGGTGGGGAGCAGCCCAGAGACAACCAGCATGGAAACAGAATAAAACATTGGAAACAGCTGCAAGGAACCTACAAAAAATACATGTGCCATCCCCTGTTATAAATATTTGTGGTCAACAGCAGGCTTCAGGTAGCTCCCTGTGCCTGAAGAATGGGGACAGAAATGGAAAAAGGTGGCCCTAGCAAAATTAAAAGATTAAACTGGGTCCACTGCAGTGCAACCACCACCTTATGATAAAAGCCAGGTTCTGGTAAAACCTAGACTGGTGCCTGTCAGAACAGGACAAGTAAGTGCCCAGATGGAAAAAGTAGCACACAATACTTTCACTGAATTGGTAAATCGAATGAAGAAAAAAATGGAACAGTTCACAGAGCACATTAGGAGACAGGAACGGTGACTCGATCGCAGGGGAGTGAATAAAAAAGAATTTCAAAGTAAAAAAATGAAATTAAGTGGGTTAAACACTTAGAATTGATGCATTAACACGTGGAGTTGCCCCAAAACAGTTAATTGCAGCAAAAAAGGGCACTCCTGCCATTCATTTGGCATGCACACAAAAGCAACGGACACTGGGGGAACAAATTCAGGTTTTACAAGAGCAGGTAACTACCCCCACTCTCTTCTCAGAGCCAGGATAAAAACCAGGGGCACAGTTCCCAACTGTGTAGGTTCCCAACTGCTTTGACCCACGGAACCACGCTCCGCGCACATATCTAAAAATACAACCACCTTTCTCAAGTATTTTTACATACCGGTTACGTTTTTTCCGTTATATGCTTTCTCAGTTTGCTAAACTGGCTGCTGCTGCCTAGTTAATCTCTCTTGGCTCAGGTCTCGCTACCTTCCTAGGTTGCTCTTCACCCCCTTCCCTTTCCCCTGCCTCTCCTCACTTCGGCTCTCTCTCTTTGTTTAAAAGTTAAAAGTTATAGTTTTTACAGAAACCTCCAAAAATAAAGCAATTGAAAACAGAACAAAACAAGAAACAAAAAGAAAACAAGGTAAAAACTTTACTTTAAATACATCCAGTACATTAATTATTTTAATCCTTCAGGAATGCAACAGCTGAAATTATTCCTAATTTTCTTGAAGATGGGGTTGCCAAGCAACCCAAATGCACACTCTGCTTCTAATCCTGTTCACTCACTAATATTTGGAACATGGGCTTTTCTTATTTCCATATAGCAGAGTTTTAAAATAATGTTAAATATAAAGTAATGCAAAATTCCTTGTTACCAAATTAATACAATAAATTTGGCAAATATTAATATATTTTTATCATTTTTGTTAAAAGTTTTCAATAAGGTAATAACTTGTTTATTCAAATGTTTAACCCTTTTAATTTTTTGTTTTTGTTTGCCTTATTTTGTATAGTTATGAATAGAATTCTGGTGCCATGTGTTTTTAATTATAAGCTTGTCCTGTATGTCGTGTGCATTGTCCAGTGTTGTATTTTGTGTGTGTCACGTGATTATTTTTTATTATTTTTATTTTGTTGCAACAAAAGTCAATTTCATACTCTTTTAAAAATATATGTATGTGTGGTACCACACTATTTTAATATTATGGTTGGGGTATAACCATCATAATATTATTCATACCATTTTTTTCCCCCAAAGTTCAACAAGGTCTCAGTTATAAATATATGTACATATATTTCTGCCTCAACAAATAATGAAATTGCAAACAAAAATAATTCTCTTTTATTAATCACACTTTTGTTTTGTTTTTTATGTTTTTTATTTTTTTATAAAAAAATGTAAGGGAAAACCTCAACATTAGGGT